TCACGCACACGCTTTAACCCAGCTGCCGTGTGTTCCTACAGGAGGATGGAAAAGCAGAGGAGAACATGGCGCAGAAGAGGGCTGCACTGCTGGAGAAAAGGATGCGAAGGGAAAAGGAGACCCAGCAGAAGAAGATGCAGCTGGAAGCTGAGCTGGAGCAGAAGAAAGAGGAAGCTCGGTGTGTCCGTCTGAGAAAAAATTTAACTTGTTTGTTGAGATTTTATTTGATGCTTTACTAGAATCTTTTTCTTAGTTTTTCCTCATATTTTTTGTTTCCATTTTGTATTATCTTCCATGTATTTTCTTCATTCTGTCCATTTATGAAACATCACAAGATAGTAATAGTAACGTCACAGCTTTCTAAAGCCCATTATGTCCCAATATTTGCTTAATATATCTAAGACTTATAGACCTGATTAACGTTCAACATCTTGCCAAATAGCTAGTCTCTTTTTAATAGCAGTGCAGTGCAATATTTACCAATCGATCAGCTGTCTCTTGTATGGTGAATTTAGCATGTCAAAGTATCTTATTGCTAACTCTCCTTCCATCCCTGCATCTGTTCAGACTGAAAGCCGAAGAGGAGCGTGTCAGGAAGGAGGAGGACAAGGCCAGGAAGGAGTTCATCAAGCAGGAGTACCTCAGGAGGAAGCAGCTGAAGCTGATGGAGGACATGGACACCGTCATTAAACCTCGACCCGCGGCAGGGGCCAAACAGAGGCGAGGGCGACCGAAGTCTATCCATCGCGACAGCATGGACTCACCCAAAACCCCCGTGAGGGCTGCCACAGGTAACCATGGAGATGACCCCCTCTCTTAGAGAGGTCAATGCCATCTCGTCTGTCACATCAGTGTCTCGCTGCTGCAGTGCATTGTGCCACCTTAGACTGTGGTAAGCAACCAGCTGAGCGCTGCCTTCTTCCTGATGTTTCCTTAAATGCTGTTTTATGTAGTAAAAATATCAAGCTAATATATGGCATTGGCATGCAACAATAATAATAATTAGTATACTGAAACATTATTCTAAAATAAATTAAAACCTCACGTTGAAGGAAGCAGCATCCGTGTATGCATGTGTGATATGTGTATATTTTAAAAAAAGCATTATATGATCTGATTTTACTGAATATGTGTTTAATTATGCATCATATTAGTCGGTTTTGCATGTATTTGTGCTTGTGAGACATTTCAGTCGCAGCACTGAGGCTCCAATGCTGTCGCAGGTGGCACAAAACACCGTGGACAAGTCCGGTGGTGTTTTCATTCGTGCTGTGGTGTAATCGTGTCGTGTTGTGTCGTGCCACGTGTGATTATCTCACATGCAGGTTCACGCCAGCGTGTCTTTTCAGTCTCCAGCTTGTCCCTTGCTTCGCTCAACCTGGGAGACAACGACAGCGTTCACTCTGAGAAGAGAGCAGCAAGGTGAGATGTTACTGGCTTCTTTTTCCCCCAAAGTGAAACAAAGGTTTAACACTTGGTTTAGATTTTTGTGTTCCATTCAGCAGTAAATCATTTTACTGTTTTAACCTTTTCTACTTGCTGTAAGAGCCTTAAATCCATGCCGGATATATAGTAGAGAGTAAACTCGCACTGCCTTCTCAGGCAGAGCACGTGCTGAAGTGCTCTCCGGTGTTACAGTAGGAGTTTTATCCTTCACACCTGCCGTGATGTGCATTTAATTGGACCAGCAGACTAACTCTAACTCTCAGATCTAACATTTTTCCTGTTTTCTCTCAGTCTTCCCTTTTAACGCTTTCCTTTCATGTTGTTTCACACATCAGAAGTTCTAGTTTAGCCTCTAGCGGTCTCTTCTACTTTCTGGGCTCTCCTAAACTGAGAAGGAGAAGGTTAGTTTTTCTGGTTGACGGTGAAATCTTAAAGGCAATTCATGCTGTCCTGAGCCCAATCCTGCACTGAAAACCCTTTAGACCACAATGGGTTTTGTTAGGGATTGAGTAAGCACTTTAAGCAAAAGCAAATGTTTTTTTGTTAAGACACTCATAACTAACTTCAAAGCAGGTCCGCTATGCTTCCTTCAGTATCACCATCACAAAACAATCACTTTTTT